CATTTTTTGTCCTTGGCGCATATGCATAAATATGTATATGGCGCTCCCCACGTTAAAACGACCTTGTGCCACATCCAGAATTGGTGGAGAGGCCGGGAGCTGGTCAAATGTTCTGCTGCTTAACGGTCCTACAACCACATCCGGTCACGGGTCAGATGATGGTGATGACCATAATGATGACAACGATGACGACGACGACGATGATTCTTAAAAGTCCATTTTAAGAAATTATAACAAAGCACCGAAAATTTACAAGATTTTGTCTTAAGAGAAAAAGAAGCAGACATTTTGATACTGCAGATGTTTTACTTCAAGTAGAAAGGTAACTAAAATAAGAAATACATAACTATTACAATGATCTGATAACAGCTTCCCCATAACCGGAGGGGCGTCGATAATAACAAGTTGCAGAATGAATTTGCAATCTAAAAATAGAATGCTTTCTTTCATTTCTTGTCAAGATCATCTCACCATTCTCTTTGTCAACGATACTTTCATGAATCATTAATAAATACCCTTGATAAACTTTTTATTTTCACAAAAGGCAAATCAACAAAGAAAGCGAACGCAGTCATTAGAATTAATAATGTGTCTTGTCGCTTCGAACGTTATGATTTTACAAGTTTATTAATAATGAGTACATCAAAATGAATTGAAATCAAGCTGAGTATAAATGTAAAACAACTTTTTATGAATTAAAAACTAATTTCCAGTAAATTGGCTTGAAAGATTCAATAGTCTTCTTCCTATCGAGTCGCTCCACAACAGCTATCCAGTGTTGTGCACAGAGCCTTACCTAGGGTGTTAATGTTTCAAGGTTGTTAAGTGTGCGTGGATCTTCAAGATTAAGGCAAACTAGAAGATGTTCCATAGTTTGTTATTGCCCGCATTGAGAGTTTGGATTTTTTATCGTGATTTTAATGGCAGTACCTATTTTGCTTGATCCTTAAAAGCCATGAGTTGTTAATAGAAAAGAGCGAAAGACAAAAATGTGTCTTCCCACCGGACTTATTCAACCTATACAGTGAGGTGATTTTCGGTGGTATATACCCATTTCTGAAGGTCAGCTCTACAGCGAACAACAGCTGTTCGGGGGCGATTCAGACAAGAGCATAACGGCCAGACATCACTGGATCCAGTGGGGAGGGATTCTGTAGGGCTGAGAGAAAGCATGTGCTCCTCGTTGTTAAGATGGCTGCACCACAGGGACAGACGCTGACTAGGAGTTCTGTTGTTTAGCGATTCTGAGTGTAAAAGCTCTGTCTTGACTTGAGCCTTCTTGTCATTGGTTCAGAGCCGCGAAGTGAATAAGGGTCAATTTCCTGCTTCAACTTCTCGAATAGGGAGTGGACTGTCCTTCTTATATAAGGGGAAGCTAAGCAAGTTGAGTAAATTAATAAAACATTAAAATAATGCTGTCTACTTTATTATTCATAAATTACAAGTTATTTTGTTAAATGCAAACATTTCACCAGTTGAGCCATTAAAAGTGCTTCTTATACACTCCGTAGTTATTCATCTTTTCATTTATTTCTTGATAGATTTGGAACAAAATCATAAATTAATGAAGCGTGATAATCATGCAAGAATGCTTGTCAATAAATTCAGTTTCAAAACTAGGCTTTTTTATCGTGATTTTAATGGCAGTACCTATTTTGCTTGATCCTTAAAAGCCATGAGTTGTTAATAGAAAAGAGCGAAAGACAAAAATGTGTCTTCCCACCGGACTTATTCAACCTATACAGTGAGGTGATTTTCAGAAAATTAATTTCTTTCTACTTTTCTTACCTTCAGTATGCCTTGAGAGTATCAAATTTTCAAAGCCTTCTTTCTTCATTATGTGTCTCAGAAATTTCGACTGTCTCATTCTGATTTTAAGTATCCTTATAGTCTTCATTTTCAATAAAACTTCCTAATTACTCACATTCTCCATGTATGGTATGCTAAGCATTCTTCTGACGGACCACATCACAATTACTTCAAGTCTCGTCTTTGTGAAGAAATAGCTCAGTATTCACCCCCCTATAGGAGGATTGATATTACGAAGCAGTTAACCACTCTTTTCTTTGTTTCTAATGAAACTTTCCTGCTGCTTAATACTTTGTCTAGCTTTTGGAAGACATTTTCCCTATTCTAACACACCTTCGGATTTCTGTAACACATTTTCCGTCGTCTGTTGAAAAAATCATCCCAGTCTTAAGAACAGCTAATATTAAATATAGTTTAACTATCTCGATCAATCATTTCTAACAAGTTTTAGGAATATATATTGAATAAAATATTTTTGATTGTCATGTTTCCTTAGGTTAAGAATATTTGGATTAACAATATTACCGACATAATAAATGAAATATACAATAGTGTTGATATACCGGAAGAACTAAGTAAATCCATTTTGATAGCATTGCCTAATAAGCCATACCATCTTTCTATTCCTTTCACTTTTTGCTGCGATTTGTGCAAAATCAGGAGTAGCAAATGCTGTCTTTAGCTTTTGTAATATTGTACTAGGAATGATTACAGCTACCTGGAAACAGAAATATTTCAATACAAAAGACCATAATGTCTCTTTCAGTAAATGACTGTTTATTGACATTCCCTCAAAGAAGAGATAACATATCACCCCCATTTCATGTCGGATACCTTTCTCTGTTAACATTTCTAACTAACCTTTACAGAGAGAGAGAGAGAGAGAGAGAGAGAGAGAGAGAGAGAGAGGGAGAGGGAGAGAGTGTGTGTGAAAGAGAGATAGGAAGTTTTTCAATTTGCATCTTGAATTCAGACAAGCAATATTTCTGTATGTCCAAATGTCATTTGCAAAAGGGAAATAGTCGTTTTTTCCCATAAAACCGAAATCTACTGATGTCCTTTATTCTATCAATATCTCTATCCACGTTTTTTTTTTTTTTACTTCTTTTGGTTTTCAACATATTAGCTCATGAAAAGAGATTATGTCCAGTATTAAACGTGTTTGAACGATGACAACTAAGACGAAGAGAAGCAAGATATCTTTCAATAAAGACTATGTAGTAGATCGAAGAATTGCCTTTGTCCACTTTAGATTCTCTTTCCAAGTAACTCAGAAGACATTTTCTTTTGATACTTCCATAACTGCTGTAATCTGATAAAAATAATTTTTTATTACGTTTCCTCAATGTGTACTCAATCATTTACACTAAATTCCTGAAAAGATGCCTACTGTAGTTCAATAGTTATAAGCACTCTTCGGTAGTCAAGTGTGGTGTTTCTCACTCGGTGTTCGCCGAAATCCTCGGGTTCCGCAAGAGAATTCGGTTGCGTGAGGAACAGTAATAACTATACTAACGCATTTTTTAGTAATTTTCGTTTAATTTTATATTCATAATTTACTATACATGTACAGCATATTGTTGGAAAATTCTTGGTTGTTATTATAATAAAGGCTTCAACCTCTTATATTATTTAAAATTATAATAATCATAGCGAATGTATTTAGCGATGTCTCTATGGCGTTAGTCACTAGTCAATGAACAAGACATGTATGTGGTGGATTCGTGTATCATTGAGTGACTCACTCGAGTACAGGATGCGTGTACGGTGTCCTTACATTATGTTTACCCCATCAACTACGATAAAAATATAAAAGAGATAAATATTAATAACAGTATATAATTTCTGTAAGGAGGCACGATAATAATGGATAACGACCCGGAGAGCCGAGTTCGAATTCCAGTCGAATCCATTACATTCTAATATTCTACATGCTAATATGAATCCTCTTCTTCTCCCCGCCCCCAGCTATAGGTAAATAGCAAGACAGACCGGGTTCTATAGCCTTGGATGGCAAGGGTCTACCGTAGAAAGAAATGTATCGTCATGTATCGAAAGATATGCATGGCACTTAACTTAGGTACCTCCACGAAATCGCTAAAAAAAGAGCATAGCATTATAATTTCTGATTTTCTTAAAATAAGTTTTGAAAAAATGATAATTGATATTTAAAAAAATTTCAAAGTCAGATTTCCAGTTTTTTTTTAAAATGGAAAAAAATGATCAATTTTGCTGACTCAAAAAAAACTAGATATTTAACGAAAATTTCGGACGTGCTAGGAACGATTAAAAAATGGAAAAAATACCCCCAAAATACTTTGACCTTTCCTCTTAATGAATAACAAACATTTAGACGATAAAATTTTGTTTTCGTCAAGTTAGGCGTCTTTTTCATCATGCTATGCTCTTTTTTTAGCGATCTCGTGGAGGTACCTAACTTAACTGATGATATAGTTTCTATGCAGTTGTTTCTTAAGACATGAAAACTATTTCCGGGGTAAAAAGATTGAGGAAAGTTAGTCTAGTGTGAGTATCTCACTACTATAGATATCACCAAATCTTGGTGAGTAGTGAATTTGATCTTCACTTGGCGCCCGATATTTGTGATCTAAATTTAGTAAATGCCTGAAACTGTTCTTCTAAAAATGCCAAGAAAAATACTCAATCGATCAGAATTTCAGTGAGTATAATACAGAAACTTCTAAATTGAGTAATGTTTTAAGTTTAGCATTTTTTTAGCTGCTAGTTACGAATAAATGATTCTTATCTCAAAGCACTGCAGCTGCCCTATCATCTTTTTATTTCCATATAATTATTTGTGCAACAATTTGTAGGAAATACATATTAAGAATAAACAAGTACCATAAAATGTCATTAAATTACAATGATTAGTTCTGTCGAATCTATGTAGGTTGATTGACTGATTCGTTTTCTACGGGTTATCAACCTTTTGCAAGTTATTTAAAGGCAGAAAATATTTTTAGGTTTTAAGGCTTTTTTTTAGATAATGATGATTTAGTAAGGCACGTCTTAATAATTAACCCATAGCTGGGGAGTGAAGAGGTAGATTAATACCATTGGCAAAGGTATTTGCTCGTAAGTGAATATAACGAACCCAACTGAAACTGAAACTCGGCTCTCCGATAAACAATTCCGAGCCATAATCCATTACACCATCCGCACTTCCAAACTTACAGCACCTGGTATTCCCAAGTAGTTTCCTTCATCTAAGTACTGGCCAGGCTCAACGTCGTTTAACTTCGGTGATCGTACGGGAGCAGATGTTTCAGTTGATTTTTTTAATGCAAATATTATAGTCTTTTTGAAAGTAGACACACTTAAAATAAAACTAGTGGAATTTACAAACACACACACACACACACACACACACACACACACACACACACACACACACACACACACACACACACACACACACACATATATATATATATGCCATCATGACTTGTAGGGACACGGTGCAAAGAAGAAAAAGAATGATTGATTGACTGACTGATTTTGTTTAGCGACATATCAACACCTCTATGGGTTATTTAATTCCAAAATCGAAATATTAAGAACTCAATTTTATGGGTTCTAGGACAGATGTGTATTGGACATTTGTGTCCCGGACAAATGCGTACCTGGATAATTGCGTACCTCTGATAATTTTTTTGAAGCCTTTAAATTCAGTTACCATAAATTTTGAAAAAAACATGGTAATCATAATTTTTCTTAAAAAGGAATAAAATAAAATAAATTAAAATTTATTTTTGTTTAAAATGCAATGACAATTATGGCGTGTTGTGGCTGAATCATTCACTGGATCAATTTTTGCTTTGCAAGATCGCTCTAGACATTGCCAATATGGTTTTGCGTCTTCGGCGTTTTTCTTGTGATAGTGGTAATTGAAATTTTCCTCGTCCACAAATATTTCTCAACCAGTGTTTCATTTTCGGAACTTAGCCATGGGTTTCAAATAAAAATACAATCTATAAAATCCAGAATCTATTACATGTTTGTAGTACGTAATGCTGGAGCGAACAGAAACTGCTAGCTTTAAAAAAAGAAAATTTTCTCTTTTTTTTATTTATGGTAACTACCATTCTGTTTGTTTAGAGTAATTAAAGACATTGGTGCGCAAATTTCCATATTAAACAATACTTTAATCTTTTTTCTTTCAAAATTTATGTTAACTACCTTTTTGTTTGTTGAGAATAATTAATTTTGGTTTACAATTAGTAACTCTTAAGAAAAGAAAGTATGGTATCTTCAAAAAATTATCAGGAATACGCAATTATCCAGGAACGCTACAGAAATGTATTGCTGGTAATTTTAGTATAAAATATGTATTGATGATTTTTTTTGTCGGGGAGGTTTCACTCTTTGCTGGGACCCTATCGGGTGCTACCACCCTAGGTTAGAGTGAATCTGGGAACAACAGCAGTTAAGAGGTGGTTCCAGCAATCTCCCGATGATTTACTATCGGATGTAGTTTATTGTGAAGAAGAAGAAGAAGAAGAAGAAGAAGAATAAGGAGGAGGAGTGGGAGGAGGAGAAAAAGAAGAAGAAGAAGAAGAAGAAGATTTGAAGTTCAACTTAGCTTTAGTTTCAATAGAGTGACGAAAAATTTGGATACTCATTTTTATACGGTTTAACTAATTATATTTATTTTAAACGTATTTTAAAATACATTCTGCAGGTAAAATAGACACTATTTTCTTTATAGACCTGTACCAATGCTTTAACTGCAATCGTCAGGTTTACGAACTCGACTAATATTAGATGATTTAATAAGATTAGGAGTAAAACTATTCGGTTCCTAATGGTCTCGGATCTGTGGATAAATGTCTGTTTAACATGACTTCTCCTACTGATGCTATCAAATGATGAATAATGGGAGGCATTATGGAGAATTTGAATCAGAACTGTAATGTTGAGGAAATTTTAAATGCTAAATAAATAGATTTATTTTTAGCAGTGAGATACAAACACTGGGATATTGTAGAACATGGATTTTTATATGTCTACAAATAAAATATCTGCACAGAATACAAGGTGTTTCATATGGATGTAAAGAAGATCTACTTGGCAGGAAGTTTAACATTCGAAGTTCTGTTGATGGAAACAAGTTCATTATTGCTTCAGCTATCACTTGAACTCGTTAGATAGATGTCAAAGAAAGAAATTAGTCTAGATAGATAGATAGATAGATAGGAGATTAGAATATTTACATAAAAAGAAATTAGAAAGAAAGAAAGAATTTAGTCTAGATAGAAAGAAAGAAATTAGTCTAGTCTAGATAGATAGATAGATAGATAGATAGATGTAAAGAAAGAAAGAAAGAAAGAATGAATGAATGAAATTAGTCTGGATAGATAGAAAGAAATTAATCAAGATAGAAAGAAATTAGAATATTTGGATAGATAGAAAGAAAGAAATTTTAATAGAAGAAATTAGGATAGATAGATAGATAGATAGATAGATAGATAGATAGATAGATAGATAGATAGATAGATAGATAGATAGATTAAAAGAAAGGAAGGGAGAAGTGGAATGTGAAGAGATGTAAAAAGTACGAGATAAATGAAAGAAAAAGATTCAAATATGACGCTAGAAAAAAAGAAAAAAATTAATGTGATGACAGACAGAATAAAGTGATGTTAGTGACATTTTACTCTGCAGAGAAATACTGGGTTGTTTATAAAGCCACTTCAAGACAGGAAAAAAATTCTGTTCTTGAATCTCCAAGGGGGACATTATCAAGTGGAAGGTAGAGAAACATGTTGAGTGGGACTGGCTTTTATGTGCTGCTTATTAAAAATTAAGATGTCTAGGGAAAGAAAACCAAACTCTGACATATGTCCATTTACGACATTTAAATTAGTAATGCTATTTCATTTCACGATCAATTTTCATCGTAATATTATTATTGTAAGTATCCCTGAAAATTCTTATTGTATATAATTTTATCCTGGCTAATTCGATTTTACTTAAATAAGCGTAGAAGTTATTGTATTTCATTAGTATTTAGTGTGTGACATTTTATTTTCAAAAGTCCATATGCACGCCTTTACTAATGTGTTTATTATGCGAGATTATGTCTGGTTTTACATACGTAAGGGTGAATCAAATGAATAAAATACAATTAATTTTTGCTGACAAAGAAAATAGAAAGTGACATCTAAATAAAGAACAAATAATAAATACACATCTTTCAAATATAAATAAATACACTTCTATCTGCCGTGTCTCTTTGGCGTGTATGTCTCTCCACAATTTCTTGTCCTTCGTAGCACTTAGTAAATTTTGTCGTTTTGTTATCTCTCCTAAACCCTGTTCTACCACCCATTTACACGAGCTCATTAAGTAGGTTAGGGGCTGTTTTCAACTGTAGCTTCCAGATGTTTCCATTTCCTCTAAAACTTTGTTGTTGCTCCCATGTTTAGTCCTTGGTATTCTCAGCATCCTCCTGTAGAACCACATTTCTATCACCTCAAGTCTCTCTTTCATCTGCGCGGAGATTGTCCAGTATTCACTGCTATATGGGAGAACTGATATTAGATAACAGCTCAGTACACTTTTCTTAGTTTCTAACGAATATTTTCCTGTTTCTTAATACTTTGCTTAGCTTTGGGAAAGTATCTTTCGCTATCCCAATGAACCTTCGGATTTTGGTATCGCACTTTCCGTCTTCTGTTAAAAAACTTATCATATATTTAAATGGTTGCCCTGGGTTGATTTTTGCATCTCCGATTTGTAATTTGCGAGTTGAGCTGTTTCTTTTGCTATCAAACATGCATGCCGTCTTCTTTCAATTGATGTTTAGTCCTTTCTTCTTGCTTTCCTTCACAACCTTCTGTAGAAGTTCTTGTAGTCCTCATTTTGAGACCGCTATCAACACTGTGTCATCTGCATATCTTAGGTTGTTAAGATTGTGGCCGCCAATGATAAATCTTGGTAGGACTTCTAATTGTATTAGAATCGTTTCAATGTTTACATTAAGTCCGATGAAAAAACACATCCTTGGTTTTTATTTTTGTATATTTGTATATTTACTGAATTTTCTATCCGTATACAGGCGTTTTGACTCCCAGTATTGGTTCTGGATTGTTCTACTGTCCTTCCCAAATATGTCAAGATTACGAAGTCGCCAAAACAGTTCTTTCTGACGGACTTTATCAAACGCTTTTTCATAATCTATAAAACATATGTATACATCATTTGCTCTTTCTGCTATCATTCTGACCATAAATATTACATTTCTTGTTCCAGTGTCTTTAACGAACCCGCGTTGTTCTATTTCCGGTCTGATTCTGCTGTACGCATCATTTCATGAAGATTCGGGTGATAAGTTTTGTTACGTGGCTCATTAGGTTGATCATGTATCTTTTGATACATGACTGACGAGGCAGATTTTTTTTCCCGCAGTAAGTTGCCATTTCTCTCTGCGGTAGACCAGTTGCCATCCAAGGCTATAGAACCCGGTCTGTCCTGCTATTTACTCATAGCTGCGGGGAGAAGAAGAGGATTCATATTAGCATTATGGATTCGACTGGAATTCGAACTCGGCTTTCCGATTCCTCAATCCGAACCGCTATCCATTACTCCACCTTACAGAAATTATATACTATTATTAATATTTATCTCTTTTATATTTTTTATCGTAGTTCACATTCGTTTGTACTTGGCTTCTTAGGCAATACTATCAAAATGGATTTACTTAGTTCTTCCGGTATATCAACACTATTGTATATTTCATTTATTATGTCGGTAATCTTGTTAATCCAAATATTCTTAACCTAAGGAAACATGATAATCAAAAATATTTTATTCAATATATACTCCTAAAACTTGTTGGAAATGATTGATCGAGATAGTTAAACTATATTTAATATTAGCTGTTCTTAAGACTGGGATGATTTTTTTAACAGACGACGGAAAATGTGTTACAGAAATCCGAAGATGTGTTAAAATAGCGAAAGATTTCCAAAAGCTAAACAAAGTATTAAGTAACAGGAAAGTTTCATTAGAAACAAAGAAAAGAGTGGTTAACTGCTTCGTAATATCAATCCTCCTATAATGGAGTAAATATTGAGAAATTTCTTCACAAAGACGAGATTTGAAGTAATTGAGATGTGGCTCTTCAGAAGAATGCTTAGCATACCATAGATGAAGAATGTGAGAAATAAGGAAGTTTTATTGAAAATGGAAACTATAAGGATACTTAAAATCAGAATAAGACAGTTGAAATTTCTTGGACGATTAATGAAGAAAGAAGGCTTTGAAA